ACAAGGGATTCAAACATCCAAAAGGAACTAAAAGAATCAACGAAAGGATTCAAAGGAACTCGCACGAGCAAGCGGGGGAAAAAAGGACTGAGGCAACAAACAAGGACGACGACAACGAAAAGAGACTCGAACGACGAGAAGGGACTCGAACGACGATAAGGGATTAAGAAGGACCGACGCGACGAAAAGCCACCAGAACAACCTAAAATGACGAACCTAATATCACAGGGAATGAAAGGTACCACAACGACAAAAAGGGATTCAAGCAACAGACAAGGACGACAACGGCGAAAAGGGATTCAGACGACGACAAAAGGATGTCAACAACGAAAAGGGACTCAAAGGAACTCACACAACGATAACGAACTCGAAGGCACTACGACGACGAAAAAAAACATAGTAAGAACAGCAACAACACACAACTACGGAAAGGGGACCCAAACAACGAAAAGGAACAACAGGAAGCGAGATCGACGAACGAACGAAAAGGGGCTCGCACGACAAAGCGGGGCACCAAGGGACTCAGCCAACAAACAGGGACGACAGGAAACGAAAGAGACTCGAACGATGAAAAGGGATTCGAACGACGAGAAGGGATTAAAAGAGACCGAAGCGACGAAAAGCCACCATGACGCACGCCGTGGGCGGAAATGACATAACACCGAATGGTGGAAACTACAACAACACAAAGGGACTGAAGCAAGAAAAAGAGACGACGTACACGATAAGAGATTCGAGGATAAGCGAAGTCGAAGACTTTGGCATCTTGAACCTCCTAGGAGTCCGAGCGGGCCTCAAGACAGCGAAAAATGGTTTCAAGACAACTTAAGACGACCTCGAGCCGGCCAAAAATAGCCTCGAGACCGCCCAGAAGCCCCCGAAATCGCCCCAAAGAGCCTCCTGGGGACTCCCACGAGCGCCTGCTGAAGCGAAACACATAGATGTCCCATCGGTACTTGATACGTCTTCGCGTTCTCACATTTTTCAGCTCTCGGGGGTCGTAAAGGCTCAAGAAGCCTCCAAGATGGCCCTGGTACGGTCGAACAAACCCCAAGACGGCCCACGAGCCTCTCAATTGCCAAGTGAGGCTCCAAAGCCAGTCCCAGAGGAACTCAACACGGCCCAAGACGACCCCAAGAGAGCTCTGAGCAGCCCCGAGAAGCCCTCCGAAGAAGCCAAACGGCGAAAGAGTGCCCCAAGACAGCCCAAGAAACCCCCAAAAAGCCCCGAAGAGGCTCCAAACAAGCCCCAAGATGCCCGCAAGACGCCTCCACAAGACCCCCAAGAGCTCCCAGGACACTCCGAAACGACTGGACTGTACGTGCTCCGGACGTGCACCCCGCGAAGCGAGAGGAATCCACGTCCGGAAGTGACGTGCTGAGCGGCAGCGTTTTCTGCGGAGGCGATAATAATGCAACGTACCCTATGTGTCCAGTTGTTGCATAATTGCAACATGTTGTATTGTGTTACATGTCTCCCCCCTAACCCCCCCCAGCGCTACGTCACATCCACCGACCCAGGCTGACGACCCCCTCCTGGGGCTCAAAAACCTACCAAGACCTATGGAAAATATATGATTTGGGCATGTTGGCCCTCTCGGGGGTCCAACAGGGCCTCATGACGGCTCCAGATGGCCCCAAGACGGGCCAAGACGGCCCCAAGACGGCCCAAAAAGCTCCCAAGACGCCCCAAGAGGGCCCCAATAGGACACCCAAGAGCGCCTCCAGAAGCCAAAATCATTAATTTCCATAGGGTTTTGAAAGATTTCAACGTTCTCGCCTAGTTCGACCCTCAGAGGCCCAGGACGGCCGAAGCAGCCTCCAAAATGGCCCCAAGACGGCTCAAGAAACCCTCAAGAGGGCCCCAAGACGGCCCAAGAGGACCCCAAGACGGCCCAAAGAGGCCCCCAAGACGCCCCAAGAGGCGCCCAAGACGGCCCAAGAGGACCCCAAGAGAGCCCCAATGCGGCCTCTACAGGCCCCCAAGACGGCCTCCGAGCGGACCAGACAACGCAAGAGCGCATCAAGACGGCACAAGACGGCCCCACGGGGATCCGAGAGGCCCCAAAGAAGCCGCGCAAGAACGCACCAAGAGGGCCCAAGACGGCCCCGCAGGGGCCCCAAGAGGCCCCAAAGAAGCCCCCTGGAGGCCCCAAGAGGCCCCCAAGAGGCCTCCAAGAAGCCGCCAAAAGGCTCCCAAGAGGCCCCACAACGACTGGACTGTACGTGCTCCGGACGTGCACCCCGCAAAGCGAGAGGAATCTACGTCCGGAGGAGACGTGTTGTCGGAGGCAGGTCTGCAGAGGCAATAATGCAACGTATCCAATGTATCTAATGACTGTACAATTGCTGCATATTGCATTGCGTTACATTATTATGTCTCCCCCCATACCCCCCCCTGAGGCCACGCCACTTCCACCGACCCAAGATGGCCCCTCCCCTCCTGGGCCTAAAAACCTACAAAAACCTATAGAAAATCAATGAGTTGGGCCTGTTGGCCCTCTTGGAGGCCCAACATGGCCTCAAAACGGCTCGAGATGGCCCCAAGACGGCCCAAGATGGCCCCAAAACGGCCCCAGATGGCCCCAAGAGGTCCTACAAAGACCCCAAGACGCCCCAAGACGGCCCCCAGAGGACCCCAAAGAGCACCTCCAGAAGCCAAAAACCATTGATCTTCCAATGTGTTTTTTAAGATTTCAGCGTTCCCGCCTATTTCGACTTTCAGAAGTCCAGGACAGCTGAAACAGCCTCCGAAGTGGCCCCCAGACGGCCCAAGAAGCCATCAAGAGAGCCCCAAAACGGCCCAAGAGAGCCCCCAGACAGCCCCAAGAGGCCCCCAAGACGGCCCAAGAGTACCCCAAGACAGTCTCCGAAAGGACCAGACAGCGCAAGAGCGCCTCCAAGACGCCCACACGGGGCCCCAAGAGGTCCCCAAGAGGCCTCCCAGAGGCCCCCAAGAGGCCTCCCAGACGCCCCCAAGAGGACCCAAGAGGCCCCAAAGAGGCCTCCAAGGGGCCCCCAAGAAAGTTCCAAAGGCCCGACAACGACTGGACTGTACGTGCTCCGGACGTGCACTCCGCGATGCGAGAGGAATCATACAACAACAAGCGGGAAAGCAACCCTGTCTGCGTTTCGTAAGCCTCTTGGGGGTGATATTTGGGCCGTCTTCGAGCGTCTAGCGGGGTTTCGGGGCCGCTGGAGGCCATCTTGGACCGTCTTGGAGGTCTCTTGGGGCCGCCGCCGACCTGTTTGCACTGCTTGACAGGGACTTCCAGAGGCCCGTGGATCTCGCGGGACCCTCTGAGGAGGCCTTCAGGAGCCCTGGGCGCATGGGATCCCGTTTCGGGGGGGGGGGGCGCACCCCCCGGATCACTAAAGCTTACGAGAAGGACTCTGATGCAAGCTGCTGTGTGGTGACAGCCACGTGGTGCAATCGATGCGGTGCAAGCAGTGTCCAGCGAGCGCACGGAGCGCCCACGAGGCCCAAACAGGCGGCAACGGGCGGCGGCGGGCGGCTTGGCGGCTGCAGGGCGGGGGCCGGCCGGCGCGCGGGGCGCCCGCGGGGCGCCGGCGGGCCGCCGAGCGGGGGGCCTCGAGCCGCCAGCCAGCGAAGGGGAGGGCGGGCCCCGCCCGCTCCCACCTTCTCCGCACGGCGCGCGGCACGGGGGCTCCTGCTGGCGCGGCTGGCCGGCTGGACCGGCGCGCGTTCGCGCCCGGCGGGCGGGGGGCGCTCGCGCGCGCGTGGCCCCGACGGCTTGGCGGGGGGAGGACACGGGCCGCGCACAGGCGGGAGCGGATCTCTCGGGGAATCCCCTGGCGGCGCCTCGGCGAGGGCAATTATCATTCGGCCCTGTCGCGCGTGGCAAGACAATGCAGCAGTGAAGACCATGCCTGCGCCGCGCTCAGGCGGGAGCGCCATTTTCGGGCGAAATCTGCGCGGCGTTTCAGCGACGTCCCAATGGCGCTCTGCGCGGCGCCTGGGCGCCGAACAACGGCATTTCGTCCGCTCGCGCGACGTCCCGCGGCCGAAGAAGTGGCGAGCAAAAAACATTCAGCGCGCCTCAGCGGGAGCGTAACTGTCAGACAAACAGATTTGCGCGGCTCTAAAGCGAAAACATCAGTTTCGGACGCAATGTACGCAACGTCCAATTCCTGCCAAACTCTTTGCAACATCCACGCTCAGAGGGAAAATTCCAATTTCGTGTTGTTCGCTGGTGGGTTGGATGGAAGATCCTAAAGCCAGTCACCATTGCTCTGGTCAGGTGCCAGAGTGGGAGTCTACAACACTTATCCCAGTGCGACCCGACCTAGGAGTTGGAACCCCTAGGAAAGCAGCATTAGTAGTAACAGTAAAGCTAAGCTAAAGTTAAGCTAAAGCTAAGTTAAAACTAGGCTAAAGCTAGGCTAAAGCTAAGCTAAAGCGGAGCTAAAGCTGAGCTAAAGCTGAGCTAAAGCTAAGCTAAAGCTAAGCTAAAGCTAAGCTAAAGCTAAGCTACAGCTAAGCTACAGCTAAGCTAAAGCTAAGCTAAAGCTAAGCTAAAGCTAAAGCGAAAGCTCCCAGGGGACTGGGGGAACCGCGGGGCGGGGACCGGGGGAACCTCCCGGGGCGAAGCCCACTGCCCGGTCCATTTAAGCCCAGCGAGTAAGAACCCTCTAGGCAGAGCCGAGGTAGGGAATAAGGAATCAGGATCTGAGTAGGGAGGAAGGAGAGGAGGATTTTAAAAGGGTTCTGAGGGAAAGCGGGGAGGGGGATGGAGGAAGACAAAGAGGAGGATGAGGTGGAGACGGAGAGGAGCGTAGAGGACATTGTTCAGGAAGATGAGACGGAGGGAGGCGTACAAGGCGGACAAGGATCACGGCGGGGAGGGTTGTGGAGGAAGGTAGGAACGAAGCCGAAGAAGATAATGCGGGCACGGGACGAGGGGGACGAGGAGGAATACAACCATCGACGACATCGGGGCGCTGGCCATCCCGAGCCCCCGCGGAGGAGGGGCCGCGCGCCTCCGGCGCGGGCCCGCTCTTGCCACCGCTGGGGGAGCTGGGCAGATTGGGGTCGCGGTAGCACCTCTCGAACTCCTCCCCCGAAAACGCGGGGTGGCTCGCCGGCGGCGCCAGAGGAAGGGGGGGAAGGCGAGAGGAGACGGTTGAGAGAGAGGGGGAGCAGGGAATTGAGGAGGGGGAGGGAGTGGCAAGAAGAAAGGAAGGGAAGGAAGAGACATATGTGGAGGGGGACGGGGAGGAGGAGCAGGGGAGAGGAGAGGATGAGGAGGAGAGTTGAGGGGGTGAAGGAGGAAGAGGAAGGAGGCGAGCGGGAAGGAGAGGAGAGTGAGAAAACGAGAAGAAAGGGGAAGAGACGGAGCAGGCCGAGGAGCAAGGAAAGGACGCTAGAGAAGGGAGGAGGGGGAGGACAGCACAAAGAAGGTCAAAATGTGCAGGAGGGGGAGGGGATGAGAAGCCACAGTGGGGCAAGGCGTGAGCCACGGTCAACTCGACTTGGACTGGTAATCGGAGGGGCCCAACAGTATGGCGTCGACGTGTACCGTCAGCCCAAGGGTGTCAAGCACACGATGCCCCTGATAATCCCACCAGCCCTCTGGAGGTGGGTAGTTTAGAGCCCCACGCCCCCTTGATCACCTCTGGGGAGGGACCCGATCGGACTCTCCAGCATGAGCACCCCCATCCCAAACTCGACCGACCACCCACCTGCAGGTGCACACACCGTAAACCATGCTGACCACCAAGCCGCCACTTTGCTGTCGCGTTGGCCAGGAATGTGAGATTTGTCGACATGTTGCCCGATGAGTGCTGTCGCACGCGCTGGCGCACCTGGCGCACTCCGTGCGTAATGCTGCCGTGGCGCAGCGCACATGGCACGGCTGAAACATTTGGCACACTTAGCGCCCGTGTCACGCCTGACAGCTAGGGCATCCGGCGCATCTGGTGCGCGTGGTGCACCTCGCGAGCGTCGCATACCCGCCGTCTGTATTGGTCCCCAATTGTTGTCCATCCGATGGCTACATCTGCCTCAGCATAGTCTCGAGTCCTACTTGTGTATATGGTGGGAGGGCAGGAGGGAATGAGCGGAACCGCTTGAAGCTTTCCTGTTGAAACCTTGATCCCCCCTGATTACCCTCTCCCCTGCGTCTGGGGCTGATGGAAATGGACCAACATGACGTCCAACATGCAGAAAGGTTATGAGATGCTTTCACAACGTTCTCGAGGCTTCGGAATCTCCTAAAAATGGTCCCCACAGGTTCAAAGCTTCCGATACATTAATGATTCAATAACTTGAGATTATCGCCAGTTCGCTTCCAACGGGCCGCTAGGGCCTCAGGGTGAGGCCCAGAAGGGCCCCAAGGCGGCCCAAAAGGCATCCAAGCGCGCCTAAATTGCATCCCTAAAGAACCCCATGAGACAAAGGTGGAGGCTGAATTGAGGACACCCCCAAAACGAGAGTTTCCTCGCCGGCCGTTGGGGATCCCGAAGTCCGGCAAGAGTGCCCTGGCCCAAGAGCGCCCCAAGAGAGCTCCGAGAACGCCAAATCATGGAAGGCCTTTGTGGTTAACTATTGATATGGTCACGCCTTGCCCCTGTCACACAAACGACTCAAGAGTCCACCATGGGCTTTTGCTGCACATTGATTTCACCGAATAAGATAAAGGAGAATGTGCTGGTGGTAGGGCGGCGGCCCTCCCACTTCGTGCCACTCCCTGTTCCGACACTTCCCTGGACAAACCAACTCGGATTGCATTCGCTGCTAGATGGGATGGTTGGTGTGCGCGAAGCGTCAGGAATTTCGAAACTCCTGGTCCTGAAAACTGATCTTGCGCTTGTTGTCCTTGCCGACGCCGTGAAAGAACCGCATCACCGCTGCTCGTGTGTCGCTATCCTGGTGCGTCTCCGACGAAATGCCAAAAAACTCGGCGGCCTCGGGTTTCTCGCGGACGCCCTTGATAAGCTCATTCACGCTGATGCTGCCTGGGGCTTGTAAGTGTAAGCGGCCGAACGGTTATCGTACCCCCCACGGGGAGGAAGGAACCAGCGGGAGGCGAAGTGGAGAGGAACATCTTCGAACCTCCTTGTGGGCACCTCCGACGGACTTGGCAGCCCAGATGCAGCGGGACCCCAGCATCGCTACGCGGTGTTGTCGAAACACTCCGCAGGTACACACGAAATACCTCGAAGATACCTGCTGCGCAGTTTGGTCTCGCATCCTCCCTCGCCGTCCTCCTCCCCCTCTTCTTCCACTGGTCTTTTCAGCCCTTGCTGCCATCGCCCTTGGCGTCGCAGGCCTTGAACACCTCCCGCAACCGCTGGAGCTGCAACTCGGAATCTACCTCTTGGCCGACGAAGGTAGGGGCAGCCGAAAGAAGAAAGAGAAACGAAAAGGCCCTGAGATGACGAGGAGAAGCGCATCCGCTACCAGTGAGGCTCCGCTGGCCCAATTGGGGCTAGGGCCTTGTGGGATATGGACTCTCAGTCTCGCCGTGAGGCCATATCCACGAATGACGCGAAACTGGGCATGTGGGTGATTAGTGGCAGAGCATGTTCCTTTACCAAAGGGTAGTGGGGGGCAAGGAGAAGGCAAACGAGGGAGCCTGGACGTCCCCCACCCGTCTGGCCCTGGCCACTCGCGGGGAAGAAAGCATCCCTGGCCCAGAATGGACCACACAGCTTTCCACATTCTGATATCCGGCCGTACGGATTCTGCATGGGACCGCACGGGGGGTCCACTTTTTCAGGGGCCCGCCAGACTATACAAGGTATCCCTGAAGATGCGAAGTGCTACATAGCACCCTTGGGGCAGCTAAGAAGCGGCTAGTACACTAGGGCTCGGTGGAAAGACTGACAGATGTGGTGCAACGGAACGTGTGAGCCCAGTGGCGCAACTTTAGTTATGAGCTGGACTCAGGGTGGCGAAGAGCTTGCGAAAGCTTGGCAGAACGATGAAGCAACGTAGACTGAACGACACACACTCGCAGCAACTGGTTGGATCCTCCGATCCGAATAAAAAAATATGCTAACGGAGTTCCCCACATAAAGATGTTACGGGGTTCCATTGCTTCTTGTCTGCGCTCTGGTGGGGCCTCCCTAGAGGGGTGGGAGGGGCACGAAACCTGATGAATAATATGGTGTGCGAATACCCTGCCCGCTCTGGTGGGGCCTCCCTGGAGGGGTGGGAGGGGCACGAAACCTGATTACATAGCATGGTGTGCGAATACCCTGCCCGCTCTGGTGGGGCCTCCCTGGAGGGGTGGGAGGGGCACGAAACCTGATAAATAACATGGTGTGCGAATACCCTTCCCGCTCTGGTGGGGCCTCCCTGGAGGGGCGGGAACGGCACGAAACCTAATAATAAAATATGGCGTGCGAATACCCTGCTCGCTCTGGCGGGGCCTCCCTGGAGTGGCGGGAGGGGCACGAAACCTGATAAATAACATGGTGTGCGAATACCCTGCCCGCGCTGGTGGGACCTCCCTGGAGGGGTGGGAGGGGCATGGAACCTGATAAATCATATGGTGTGCGAATACCCTGCCCGCTCTGGCGGGGCCTCCCTGGAATGTTGGGAGGGGCGCGAAACCTGATAAATAACATGGTGTGCGGATACCCTGCCCGCTCTGGTGGGGCCTCCCTGGAGGGGTGGAGGGGCACGAACCTGATAAATAATATGGTGTGCGAATACCCTGCCCGCTCTGGTGGGGCCTCCCTGGAGGGGTGGGAGGGGCACGAAACCAGATAAATAACATGGTGTGCGAATACCCTGCTCGCTCAGGCGGGGCCTCCCTGGAGGGGTGGGAGGGGCACGAAACCTGATAAATAACATGGTGTGCGAATACCTTGCTTGCTCAGGCTGGGCCTCCCTGGAGGGGTGGGAGAGGCACGAAAACTTATAAATAACATGGTGTGCGAATACCCTGCTCGCTCAGGCGGGGCCTCCCTGGAGGGGTGGGATGGGCAGGATACCTGATAAATAACATGGTGTGCGAACACCCTTCCCGCTCTGGTGGGGCCTCCCTGGAGGGGTGGGAGGGGCACGACACCTGATAAATAGCATGGTGTGCGAATACCCTGCTCGCTCAGGCGGGGCCTCCCTGGAGGGATGGGTGGGGCAGGAAACCCATGGTGTGCGAATACCCTGCTCGCTCAGGCGGGGCCTCCCTGGAGGGGTGGGAGGGGCACGAAACCTGATAAATAACATGGTGTGCGAATACCCTGCTCGCTCAGGCGGGGCCCCCTGGAGGGGTGGGAGGGGCACGAAACCTGATAAATAACATGGTGTGCGAATAACCTGCGGTTCCCTGGAGGGGTGGGAGGGGCACGAAACCTGATAAATAACATGGTGTGCGAACCTCCCCCTCCAGGCGGGGCCTCCCTGGAGGGGTGGGAGGGCACGAAACCTGATAAATAACATGGTGTGCGAATACCCTGCTCGCTCTGGCGGGGCCTCCCTGGAGGGGTGGGAGGGGCACGAAACCTGATAAATAACATGGTGTGCGAATACCCTGCTTGCTCAGGCGGGGCCTCCCTGGAGGGGTGGGAGGGGCACGAAACCTGATAAATAACATGGTGTGCGAATACCCTGCTCGCTCAGGCGGGGCCTCCCTGGAGGGGTGGGAGGGGCGCGAAACCTGATAAATAACATGGTGTGCGAATACCCTGCTCGCTCAGGCGGGGCCTCCCTGGAGGGGTGGGAGGGGCACGAAACCTGATAAATAACATGGTGTGAGGAAAGGCATGGTATGGTATGGGATGGTGGATGCATGGTATGGTATGGTAAGGTATGGTATGGAGTGGCATGGTATTGGTATGGTATGATACAGTATGGGATGGTGGAGGAAGCGGGAGGAGGAGGAGGAGGAGAGGATGTTCTGGGAAAACAAGAACCCCACTCAGGATGTGGGGAAAAAAACGCTGCCAACAAATCCGCGGTGGCTTGCTAAGCAGACTCCAGAACAGAGGAAACGGACATTGTGGTAGCCAGTTGGCAGACACACAAGGGCAACCGATACAGGATACACGGCGCACGGGGTGATCATATGCAGCCGTGCGCCTTCTATGCTTCGCATCGCCGAACAGTGCGTCCGATCATCACTTCCAAAAGAGTCATTCGAACAGGCGCCGTCTACCTGATTATGCAGCAACCACGTGGGATCATCTCCAAGTTCACGACAACCGGTGCCCGACTGAACGTAGTTGACAGATGGCCCTCGTCGTTATCTAGGTATTGTGGGGAGCGCTCTGCTGGCGCAATTGGGACATAGATTTAGGGAGCAAGGGAGTTGGTTGCTTGAAGGATGAGCTTTTCCCAAACCGCACCCTTGACGAAAAGTATACGCCCCCCATAGCAACGCCAGAATGTTCCCCCTATTGCCTGGCCACTGGAAGAGAAAGAGACCTCTTCAGTTCATCTTCTGGCCTCAAAGAAAGCACCGGGAAGATTCGATTTGCTTGGCGAAGATCCTACGAGGGCCGTTCGTATCGTCTTTACAAGTACACCATCCCGGGGGCATATAGGGTCCCCCTGGGAGCCCTTTGGATCCCATTTTACTTCACTGGACCATGAAGTACTGGCGCGATTGCGAATATTATTGGTAGCGCTGGCAATGATTACAATAGTAGGCATAGTGTAGAGCAGAAGGAGTGGCAGTAGTAGACGTAGTAGTGGTAGTAGTAGTTGTTGTAGTAGCAGTAGTAGTAGTAGCAGCAGCAGTATGAGTAGTAGTAGTAGTAGTCGTAGTAGTAGTAGTAGTAGCAGTAGTAGTAGTAATAGTAGTAGTAGTAGTGGTAGTAGTAGTAGTAGTAGTAGTAGTAAAAAAACTGTAATATTAGTAGTAGTCGTCAGTGTAGTAGTAATAATAATATGAATACTAATATTCGTACTTGTAATCGTAGTAGTAGTAGTAGTAGTAGTCGTAGTAGTAGTAGCAGTAGTAGTAGTACACTACGACTACTAATACTACTACGACAACTGTTACTACTACTACTACTACTACTACCACGACGACGACGACGACGACGACGACTACTACTACTACGACTACTACAACTAATACTACAACTTCTACTACTATTACTACAACTATTACTAATTATTGTACTAGTACGAGGAGTAGGCGTGGTAGTAAGAGTAATAATAGGCAATACCAGATCTAGTACTAGTAGTCGTGTTCGTCGTCGTATGCGTAGTAGAAATGAAAAGAATAGTAGTAATCATCGTAGCAATAGTACGTAGTAGTAGTAGTAGTAGTCGTAGTAGTAGTAGTAGTAGTAGTCGTAGTCGTCGTAGTCGTGGTAGTCGTCGTAATAGTAGAAGTAGTAACAGTAGTAGAAGCAATATTAGTAGTAGTAGTAGTAGCACTGGCAGTAGTAGCGATAATAGTGGTAGTGGTACCAGTACTAGTCGACGTCGTAGTCGTCGTAGTCGTAGTCGTAGAAGTGGAAGTAGTAATAGTAATAGCCGTAGCGATGGTTGTAATAGTCGTAATAATAAAGTACACATAACAGTAATAGTCGTAGTGCAAACTGTGATAGTCGTAGTATTGGCCGTAGTGGTAGTAATGGCGGGAATAGTAATCGTAATTGTTGTTGTGATTATAAAAGTAGCCGTAGTAGTAGCAGTAGTAGTAGTAGTAGCAGCAGCAGTAGTAGTAGTAGTAGTAGTAGTGATCGTCGTAGTAGTAGCAGTAGCTCAGGGGCTGTTTGGTAACCTGTGTTTCTGCAGTGCTCTGCATAGTGCTTGCTGTTACCTGCTTGCTCTCTCTTGTTCGATGTGCACTATTGCTTGCCTGCTGCACTGGTTCACTGCAGTGCTTGTGAGAAACACCTGAGGAAGATGGAGGGGCGGACTGGAAAGAGGAGTCCGAGGTAGAAGACTCCAACAACATTGACCAAAGCATTGAAAAAACAACGAAATTCAATAGCATCTAACTAATCCCTGTGATGGTCCAAAACGAAACAAACAACAAGGTTGTCAGAACTTACCCGGCTTGATGGTGGCCTGCCAGCTGTCGCCAAGTATGTTCCAGAATGATTTTGAACTTCGGGTGGCGTCCTGAGAGAGCTCTGGAGGCGGAGGGGAAGGAGGGCGGGCACAGCTGAGCTACAGCAAGATGGACACGCGTGTGCTCGTGACTTTCGGGGGTGTCCCTGTCGCCACGGCTGGCAGCGGTTGAAGAGTGCTTTGTGATGTGGAGCGGTGCCTCTCACTGATCAAGGCACGCATGGTCAACGTAATGCCGTTTTGCTGCGATACGTCAACCATGTTTTCCCCCAGTGCCATGGGCGGCTGAGGAAAAAGGAGGGTGATTTGCTGGGGCCCCGCACTCGTACCGCAAGTCTCATGCGTAGCTTGAAACAGGATTCGGTCGCACATGTTCAAAAATGAGCTGCTGAGGGCCATGGCCGGGCTGCACGAAAGGGACGGTGATTGGCTGGGGCCCCACACTCGTAGCACAATTTATGTCATGTGTAGCTTGAACCGGAAACGCTCGCGAATGTTCAAAAATCGGTTGCTAGGGAGGGGCCATGGGCGGACTGAGGAAGACGAGGGGTTACTGGCTGGGAGGCTGGGACCCCGCACTTGTACAACAACTTCCATGAATAGTTTGAAGCAGGAAGCGCTCGCAAATGTTCAAAAATCGCTTGATAGGGGCCATGAACAGGCTGA